GATATGGGCCAGGAGAAGGCAGGTGTGACTGGTTTGGTTTGGGGTTATGTTTGGCATGGAATGTTTGGACCGAAGGGTCTGTCTCTGTGCTGTATGACTCTATGACTCTATGTCTGTTTTAAATGGACAGCCCGTAGTTTTTAAACAATGACCTCCCCCACACACGGTTCTTGATTCTCACATAACAAATATCTCCTCTCCACATTTACCCTGTCAGTACCCTTCGGGAACTCGCACGTTTCAATCAAATACCAAGTTAGCAGCGGAATTCCAGACCTTGGCAGCTGAAAACACAACCATTGCTGGTTGAGTAATAAAAATGAGGGATGCAAGAGAGGCACAAATTGGAGGAGAGCAGAAAACTCAGAGGGTTGTATTGCTGGAGGAGATTACAGATAGAGACAGAAGAGACTGTGGAGGAATTTGTGACGTGCATGAGAATTTTAAAATTTGAGGTGTCGTTCTGCCAGCAGGTCAACAACACATAGGTGATAGGCAAATGGGTCTGAGTATGAATCAGGATGTGGGGAGCAGGGTTTTGCAGGAGCTTAGGTTTACAGAGGTTGGTGGGAAGGGTGCAGGGCAAGGAAAAGCCAAGCAATGCCCTCATCGGAGGCAAGAGCACAGTACAAACGGCGTGTAAAATACCCTCATTGATAACCGATGGGCTGGAACTCAGGAGAAAGAAAAATAAATGCCATATGGCTTTTCATTCCGAATTGCAATGTTTTCTATCTGCAACAAGTCAGTCAGAAACACAGCGGTCACCTTTAATTAAAGCTACGCTGTGCATCTGCTGGTTGATTACTGTGTTGTGGCTGACACTGATCAGGTTACCACTTTTGAAGCAGTAATGGAATAAGTTAAAGAGCTTGACAAAAGTGAGTTGCCAAGAGAGGAACTTGAAATCTCCTCCTGCCTGCTTTGATCCTGGGCTAAAAGCTGCTGTTTTTCTTTGCCCAAGAGCTCTGTCATCTCTCGTACAGATGTGCATGAAGACATTCTCAGCCCGTTTCTCTCCATATCTCTTTGAGATAAGCTCGGCAAAGATGGAATGGAGCCTTGACTTGGCAGGGAATGACGTCTCACTGGGAAATCTCGGCTTTTGAATGAGTCCGTAAGGTGCAATTGAGCTTCACTTTCAGTGAAGTGATTGATAACCTGTCACAAGTGCAGGTACCTAAGGAGATTACAGAGACAGCTGTTTGCAAGCCTGAGATGGTATGGTTATCTTCTGGCTTGACGTATGGAGACGGGCTGGAGCCTGCCAACAGAAAATTGACAGAGGAGACACATTTGGCTCAGTTTCACTTCTCTTTAGTCATAGAGTCATACAGCACGGAAACAGACCCTTCCATGCCGACCATAATCCCAAACTAGACTAGCCCCATCTGCCTGCTTCTGGCCCATATCCCTCCAAACCTTTCCTATTCATGTGCTTAACTAAGTGTATTTCAAACTTCGTAACTATGCCTTCATCTTCAACTTGCTCAGGAAGATCATTTCACATGTGAACCACCCTCTTATGCAAAACATTTGATCTCTCTCCTCTCACCCTAAAAATATGCCCCCTAGTCTTGAAATCCCCCATCCTAGGGAAAAGTTACCTACCATTAACCCTATCCATACCCCTCATGATTTTATAAACCTCTGTGAGGTCATCTCTCAGCCTCCTATGCTCCTGTGAAATAAGTCCCAGCCTATCCAGCCTTTCTTTATAACTCAAACCTTCCATACGTGGCAACATCCTGGTAAATCTCTTCTGAACCTTTTTCAGCTTAATAATATCCTTCTGCTAACAGGGCATGTTTTTCCTTTTTGTTTGTGTGACTTCAGGATGTCCAACAGGACTTCATGTTCAATGAAGTACCTTTGAAATGCAGTCGCTCATGACATGCAGGAAACACAGCCACCAATTTTACACACAGCAAACTTCCACAAATAGCAAGGAGAGCCACAGTGCAGAAGGAAGCCATTTGGCCCATTATGGCTGCACTGGTTCTCTGAACATTTTAAATTAGTGCCTGTTGCTGCCTTCTCTCCATAATCCTGCATATGACCAGACCAGAAAATTATTCTCTATTTTTAATGATGTTGGTCAAGAAATAAATATTTTTCCAGGACATAACAGCAATCTCCCCTGACCTCCTTTAAAAGAATTCCTTAGGAGGGAACAAGTGGGGTCTCCGTCTAATGTCTTTCCAAAGATGCCACCTCAAACAATGAAAGTATCAGTCAAGGGATTTTTAAACTCTATTCCCAGGATGTAGGCATCACTGGCTGGGTTATGATTTATTGGCCATCCCACTTGCCCTGGTGAAGGTGTGCTGAGCAACCTACTTGAACCCATAGGGGTCACCCATAGTGCTGTTTGGGAGGGAGTTCCAGGATTTTGACCCAGTGGCAGTGAAGGAACGGCGATAAATTTCCAAGTCATGATGTTGAGCGGCCTTGAGGGGTGGGGGTGAGACTTGCAGGGATGGTGTTCCCATGTATCTGCAGCTGTTGTCCTAGGTGGTAGAGGATGCAGATTTGGAAGGTGCTGTCTAAGGAGGCCTGGTGAATTTCTGCTATGCCTCTTGTACATGGTACGCACTGCTGCCGCTGAACCTCAGTGGTCAAGGGAGTGGATGTTGAAAATGGTTGATGGATTGAAGCAGATGTCAGCACAGTCTCTGGAAGGTTTTTAAAGCTGCTGTGATATTCGGTTCAAGTTCTGTGCTCACTAAAGCAGTCTCACAGAACATGAGGGCCACATGGTAAGCGAGTAACGTCGCCTGTTTGACAAACTTGTTGTTCCTGATTTAAAATTGGAGATCAGCCGTATCAATTCTGGCAAGTCATTGGGCATTGACTTGGTGAGGTCTCCCTTTCAGGATTAATCTACACCAAAGCGACACTAAACACATAACATTCACATAGAAATGTATGAAGTAGGCCATTTGCCCCTCAAGCCTGCTCCCTGCTATTCAATAAAATTGTGCTTAGACATAATTCAAGATTCATAGAATCTCTACAGTTTGGAAGCAGGCCATTTGGCCCATCGAGTCCACACCAACCAGCCCACCCTATCTCTGTAACTCTGCATTTCCCATGGCTAATCCACTTAGCCTGCACATCCCTGGACACTATGGGCAATTTAGCATGACCAATCCACTTAACCCGCACATCTTTAGAAACTAGAGCAAACCCACGCAGACACAGGGAGAATGTGCAAACTCCGCACAGACAGTCACCCGAGGGTGGAATCGAACCCGGGTTCCTGGTGCTGGGAGGCAGCGGTGCTAACCACTGAGTCACCATGTGGTTGATTTGATTGTGAGCTCAACTCCACTTTGCTGCTTACTGTCCCCAAAACCCTTTGATTCCCTTGTCAATCAAGATCCTAGAGAGCACAAGGATCAGAGGGACCTTGGTATGCATGTCCACTGGCTCCTTCAGGTAGTGAGACAGGTAAGTAAAGCAGTTAGGATGGGATATGGGATACTTGCCTTTATTAGCTAAGACATAAAGTTTAACAGCAGGGAGGTTATGCTGGAACTGTATAAAATGTCGGTTAGGCCACAGCTAGATTATAGTATGCAGTTCTGGAATTGTGGGAGGGATATGATTACACTGGAGAGGGTACAGAGGAGATTCGCCAGGACATCTCTGAGCTGGAGAGTGTTAATTATGAATTGGATAGACAGGATTGTGAAGAAGCGTCACAGGACTCGAAAAGTTAAATCTGCCTTCTCTCCAAGATGCTGCCAGACCTGCTGAGTTTCTCCAGTGATTTCTGTTTTTGTTTCAGATTTCCAGCATCTGCAGTTCTTAGCTTTGTTTTGGGATGACCTGGGTTGTTTTCCTTGGAGCAGAGGACACTGAGGGTTGGGGGGGGGTGGAGGGGGTATATGATTAAGATTTATGAGGGGTGTGGGTAAGGTTGATATGAAGAGATATTTCCCCATGTACATTTCAATCCAGTCACTCCTCACTCACTCCAGTGAGAACAATGTCCAGTTAATCAAACCCTTCCTCATCAGATAACACATTTTCTCCAGGTATCAATCTGAACCACGTCCAGGCAAATACCCACCCTTCCTTAAATACACTGCTCTGTAAAAGTGGGCCTGCAAATATTTTCCTTTAAAAGCTGCCATTGATTCAGCTTGAGCTGCTTTTACTGACAGTGCATTCTGCACTGGACTGAGCCTCTACTAACCGAGAAGCAGCCAACTCATCGTCTTCAAGAAGGAGCAGAGAAGACAAGAGTGGATATGGGGTATCTCCCCCACAGCCCAATGCCTACAATTATTGCTACAAGGAGAGGGAACGGCAGTTTAGGTCAAATGGCATCGCTGTCTCATAGAGCTGGCAGAGCCATGCTGGGCTGTCCTTCATCCAGTCTGACCCGCACCTAATTCTAGGCTCAGTAATGCAATGGGTTCATCCGAGAACTTTCTTCTTAGCAAGTCACCAGCTTCATAGAATCCCTACAGTGTGGAAACAGGCCATTCTGCCCATCGAGTCTACACCGACCCTCTGGAGAGCGACCCACCCAGACCCACCCAGACCCACCTGTACTTACCCTATCTCTGTAACCCTGCATTTCCCATGGCTAAACCACCTAACCTGCACATCCCAGGACACTACGGGCAAATTAGCATGGCCAATCCACCTAGACTGCACATCTTTGGACTGTGGGAGGCAACCGGAGCACCAATGTGCATTGGTAAAATTGTTCCAATTTGGTGCCAGCTAACCTCTGTTCCTGCTCTTGGTGCTGTCTGTGCAGGGGATTTTCCTTGAAACCCTTCAATCTTGCCATAATGGCAGAGGTTACCATGAAGGTCCCTCCTTCTCAACCTCACCCCTTGCCTGAGGCTGTGATGACCCTTGAGTTAAACTCACCGTCAGTCGTCTCTCTATAATGAGAGAGCAGCCCTATGGTCCTCTGGCACTATGGCGACTTTACCATCAATGCTAACCCTTCAATCTTGTTTTGTGTCTGTGTTAAGGAATGGAGGTTGGACCAACTGGGCTTCCTGGGCTCCGTGCAGCACGACCTGTGGAATTGGGTTTCAGGTTCGGCAGCGGTCCTGCAGTAATCCCACTCCTCGCTATGGAGGGAGAGTGTGTGTCGGCCAGAGCAGGGAGGAGAGGTAAGCTTGATACATTGCAATCACCTCTTCCCAAATCACTGCATATTTCGGGAGGACGGACGGTATTTCAGATACATCGTGGAATTTGGCTCTTGTTTTTTTTCAATCCGACCTCTTTCTGCCTGTTATTGAGATTACTTGCTTTCCCTCCCACCACAGAATCCTGACTACTTTCTTTGGCTGAAAGAAAGAGAGAGGTGAAAGAGATAAAGAAAGAGAGAGAAGGATGAAAGAGATAGTAGGAACTGCAGATGCTGGAGAATCCGAGACAACAAGGTGCAGGGCTGGATGAACACAGCAGGCCAAGCAGCATCATAGGAGCAGAGAGGCTGACGTTTTGGGCCTAGACCCTTCATCAGAAATGGGGGAGGGGAAGGGGGTTCTGAAATAAATAGGGAGAGAGGGGGAGGCGGATAGAAGATGGATAGAGGAGAAGATAGGTGGAGAGGAAACAAACAGGTCGAAGAGGCGGGGATGGAGCCAGTAAAGGTGAGTGTAGGTGGGGAGTTGGGAAGGGGATAGGTCAGTCCAGGGAGGACGGACAGGTCAAGGGGGCGGGATGAGGTTAGTAGGTAGGAGATGGGGGTGCGGCTTGAGGTGGGAGGAGGGGATAGGTGGGAGGAAGAACAGGTTAGGGAGGCAGGGACGAGCTGGACTTGTTTTGGGATGCGGTAGCAGGAGGGGAGATTTTGAAGGTTGTGAAATCCACATTGATACCATTGGGCTGCAGTGTTCCCAAGCGAAATGTGAGTTGCTGTTCCTGCAACTTTTGGGTGGCATCGTTGTGGCACTGCAGGAGGCCCAGGATGGACATGTTGTCTGAAGAATGGGAGGTGGAGTTGAAATGGTTTGCGACTGGGAGGTGCAGTTGTTTATTGCGAACCGAGCGTAGGTGTTCTGCAAAGCGGTCCCTGAGCCTCTGCTTGGTTTCCCCCATGTAGAGGAGGCCACAACGGGTACAGCGGATGCAGTATACCACATTGGCAGATGTGCAGGTGAACATCTGCTTGATGTGGAAAGTCTTCTTGGGGCCTGGGATGGGGGTGAGGGAGGAGGTATGGGGGCAGGTGTAGCACTTCCTGCATTGCAGGGAAAAGTGCTGGGTGTGGTGGTGCTGGAGGGGAGTGTGGAGTGGACAAGGGAGTCACGGAGAGAGTTGTCCCTCCGGAAAGCAGATAAGGGTGGGGAGGGAAAGATGTCTTTGGTGGTGGGGTCGGATTGCAGATGGCGGAAGTGTCGGAGGATGATGC